TCCAGAATCCTGAAACAAACCAAAACTGAAGGCAAATTATAATCTGAATTTATAGCTTAATCTAGTCAATTCTATCTCTGTCTGTCTCTGTCTCTCTCTTTCTGCCTCTCTCTGTGTCTCTGTCTCTCTCTGCCCCTCTCTGCCTCTCTCTCTCTCTCTCTCTCTCTCTCTCTCTCTCTCTCTCTCTCTCTCCCTCCCTCCCTCCCTCCCTCCCTCCCCATCCTTCAGGGACTAGGAAGCAATGTGTTGAGAGGCCAAATAATTTTAGTTCTTTTAAAAAGTGGCTCCCAACATTTTCCTTATATGGATCTCTAAATTCCTTCCCCATTTTCAAGTATATATTAAAGTACGCTTAAGGACAACTTTCTCATTTCCATTAATTACAAGCACATTTCCATTCACAGCTTTTAATCAGTGTCCATAAGCAATGTCAATAGACAGAACAGGAAAGAACATGAGCAAAATGCATGGTGATTCCATGTCTTGTTTGGCTGGTGTAGAAGGAATGTGATAGGTCAGTGTGTGGCCTTTAGTGTTCTGTTTTGAATTAATAATTCTTGAGAAAAGCTCAAGGCTACTTTCCACTGCTATTTTCATCTACTCTAACCTGAGGGCCACTAGTTTATACCCACCTACTTTCCTCCTTACATCAAGTATTAATATAGTACAATCACTCATGGTTAACAAATAGGCTATTAGCAACAAAGAATGACTTGGAAAAAATAAATCAGTTATAACACTTACTCTGTAGGATGTTAATGAGAAAGAAAACATAACACAGATTGAAAGTCACAGCTACGTAGAAATTATATAATCATGCTATCCAATATTTCTTAGCTTCTAAGCACATGGACACATGAAAAAGACCCTCAATTCCCCTGTGAGGTAGGTCCAGATTATTGTCCCCACTTCAGCAATGAGGACATGAGGTACAGAGGAATTAAGCAGCGGAGCTAAGAATTAAAACAGAAGTGACTTGGGTTTGAACTCTCTGCCATTTTCCTTTCCACTGAACTTTCTAAGTCCATATAGATAGATCTTTTTGTGAGTAGGGAACTTAGTGAGACACTGAAGCAGATGTGAAATTGAGTCTGCAACTCTTCACATAGCCTAAACAGATACTGTCGTCACACCTGATACCAACTGCATAGTCAGATTCCACGTGGCAAACCAGAGATCCCAGCCCTCACTTCCTAAGGAAACTACATTCACTGTTATCAGCACAGAGGGAATAAGTTCTATCAGGCATTGGGTTCTTTGAGTGTGTTTTTACTAACACACATCAACTAGCAGCCAGCCAGCAAACTGAACTCAAACTGTGTGCAAGGCACTGTGAGTTTCCATCCAGTACAGATCTGAGAATAACCATTCTCACACTCTGCACAGCGAAGATCTGTGGCTTCTCAGAACCACAGAATGTTAACTAACCTCTCATTTCCTGTCCAGCTCAAGGTTCAACCCTCTACTTTTACAGAGGAAAACACTGACACATAATTTAGGCCACTTGCCTGGGGCCCACAACATTAGTTTCTTCATTAAGTCTGACTTTGACAAAATTCACAGAAAATGGAACATATTCTCAGGTTGCCATCATCAAAATAAAAAGGCTGGCTCAGAATCAGGTGAGAGGAAAAGCTGGAGCAAGGTAAAAATTACACACACACATACATATATATACATATATATACACATACACACATGGAAGGATATACTTATAGATACCCTTCGATTATTTTTAGCTCACAAAGTATATTAACAAGTATTAATAAACTTATTCTTTACCATGAAAAATTTCCCAACAGTTCACCACTCAAGGGAACCTGATTGATTTGATAGTTGTAAAATAGACCTTTTTTTTTTTTAAAGAAGCAGACTTCTATAGGCATAATTGGACTTAATTTCAATGAATTGAATACTTCCAGTCAATTTCAGAAAAAGTATTTCCACTATGTGAAGCTATTCCAATTAATCAGATGAATATAAATTCTATAGTTGCCTATGACATACAATAAATTCAAATGAAATATTGTCTGGGATCTTTGTGTTCAAGTAATGGTTTATTTTAAGTGGCAGCTTATCTGTAAGCAAAAATAAAAGTGCTAATGATTTGTAAAGATCTCATACATTTGAAAATACCTAATTGTTGTTAGGCTTACAGATGCTATTGAGCTTTCCTAAAGTTATCAAAGGCAACAATAACTCTCATTAAAAATGACAATGCTGGGCACAAACACAGTTTAATTTCTGAGATATTAGTGTTAATATAAGAAATATGGACATTTAATCCTTAAGTGAGTTTTGGTAGGGTCTTCAATCAAAGACCATTGTCCTTCTAGAACCATGTTAAATTCTATGCTTACGAGCATTAAAATCACACTAATTTTTAAGTGACTGATAGTTCTATTCTGTGATATTTTTTCATTAATATACCACATGATTAGAAGATAAGTAAATGGATTTAAGAGAAATATAATAACCTAGTGCTATCATGCCTAGTTGAAAAGAATAATTTCTACTCATTATTAATTCATTTATTCTGCTTCCTTCTACATACCATGTTATCTTTGAAAAAGACAAGGCACTTTCCCATCTATTTCTACAGTTACAATAATCTCTTTCCTAAATTAACATGGGGTAAAATGGGGAACGAGTAGGGGACATGTGTGAGATAAGGACAAGTGGCATTTGCCCTTATTTTTATTAATAATATAGATGTTACTGGCCTTTTAGACAAACAGTAAATTGACAAGTTATATCAATTTATTAAACCAGAATCTTGGATCAAATGAGAAGTAACTGAAATTAACTTTCTTATTTTTTTTTACTTGAGGCAGCCGGTAGCCCAGGCTGGCTTAAAATTCACAGCAATTCTCTTGTCTTAGCCCCATAAATGCTGGGATTAGAGGTGTAAACCACCATGCCAGGCTTTTCAGAATAAGAATAAAAAAGTCCTTTAACTCGCAAAGCCAACAGAGATTTAGAAGCTTTGGCAAAAACATGTCATTTCAAAACTTTTTTTCCTTTGGAAACTACCATGGTGATAAAGGAATATTATATATCAACAAAATTATTCTCTTTTTCAGGCAAAAATAACTTTCACAAAATACTTGGCTAACCCAATAGAAAAATACAAATTACATTCTATCCTGAGGTTAAAAGAAAAGAAGTTTGGTGGGGGAGGAATTAGTGACCAAGGTGTACTCTGTTAGGTTAGCAATTGCTGTGGCTAATTTTCAATGAAAAGGAACTTCTTCCCCACTCAAACTACCAGTCACATAAGAAAGAAAAGAAATGAGAAGATGGATTGTTTTCTGGGTATCTCAAGAAACTATGATCTGTCAATCAGTATACTGAACAATAAAATAACACAGTTATGTGTGAGTAGTTCAAATTGATTTGACATATAATGATAAATATTTTAAGTGACAGATACTATTGTAACTTGAATTATACTTGGTCACTTCCAGATACAATCTATTCCTGTCTTAATATTTGTTTCATGGAAACAATTCATTTACACTTCTTGATTTTTTTTTTTTTGAACAAAATGAAGTGTGATTTGTACATGGCAGAAAAAGTTACTATGATCACTATTTGGTCAAATTCTAAGGCTACAGACAAAATGTAAGATTGCTGAGGGTTGACATTCATAAGTAATTATTTTACCAGTGAGAATTAAAAATTCTATATTATGATGGAAATCAATTTTGGTATTAAAACATCACAGTATGAAGCATAAATTTGATGACATTAGCTGGAACATAAGACATAGATATGTTTTTCCCTGACCTTAGCTATAAAACAAGACATTGAGTATGCATTTTCAAAGGCTTCCTTCTTATCTATAAAAATACACCTTCAATTTTGCAGCAGGCAGACATATTTGCAGGCATACATAATATATTAGAACTTAGAGATCTGGGGTGGTTGGGTGGCTCAAAAAGTTTTTGTGCAAACCATTAGAACCACCTATCAAACAGGATGTCCTTCCTCTTCCATCAAGGACTAAGAATTTCAGATTACGCATAACTCTTAAAACTGCCTTTAAAAGGCTTGACCTTGTTAAGACTGTTCTGTTCACTGAGATGAGCTTACTTAAAAGCAGTTAAGAATAGAAGGACAAAGGGAATGTATGTTAGTCACTGCAAATTATAAACAATGCCCATATGCAGGCATTCACTTGCAGTTGAATCGATGTGATATTAAAAACATTTATAATAATTTCAAATTATAGTAAAACCAAAGTAGTAATGGCATTCAATGTAATTATGAAAAAAAATAGAGAAAGATGCATATATCAATCAAAACACATGGCCAATTTATAAACGAAAACAATTTTATCTAAATTTTACTTGTCTTTCCTCAATAATTTATAAGTGTTTAAAAAAGATCCTCAATCATAAGGCTGAGACTGTTTTCTCAGTTCTGACTAGCCTACTGTGTAGGTAGAGCTTCTCTGTGCTCTTTCTCAATGAAGAATACAGAAACTTCAGAAGAGGATAAGCCATGGCTTTCATGGAGGCCTTGATACCTCACATAAGAAGCAAAAATCTCAAGACACTTTTGTTTGTTTGTTTTTAAGGTAGGGTTTCTCTGTGTAGCCCTGGCTATGCTGGAACTATACTGTACACCAGGCTGGCCTCAAACTTACAGAGATCCCTGGCCTCTGCCTTCTGAGTGCTGGGATTAACGGCATGTGCTCAGCTCTCAAGACATTTAAAGACAGACATTTTGTGTATTTTCAAAGAAAGGAAAGGATACACATGAGAAAGGAAATGAGAACTAGTGAGGCTATAAGATGGGGATGGAGTGGAGGAGAAATGGAGAACAGTGAATTAAATAGAAAAAAAGGTTCTTGGTCTCAGGTGTGATGCCCAAGATCCGAAGTAATGATTTCAATTTTAATCCACTTATTAGGAAGGGTACTCCGCCCCACACCTGAAATTTAACATACTCATTTTGGCTTTGCCACAAAACAGCATGTTAAAGGTCTCTACATTCATAAGGATGCTTGCAAACGTCATTCATATTAAAATCTATGTGGAATTGTTGGCAATACATTGATAATAATAATACATTCTGTAAACCATGGCATATCACATTTTACATTATGCAAAGAGACAATATTTACAAGTCTTTAGGAGTTTAAATATTTTATCCACTAACATAAGTGACAATTTAGCAAAGTGCAGGAGGAAACCAGTGCTATTAATTGCATTTTTTTTAAAGAGCAGAGTAAAACCATTTCTAAAAGCTACCAAAAGCTTATTTGGGTGTGTCCAGTAAGGGATTACAGAGCATTAAATAGCCTAGAAAAATGATGCATATTTAGAAACAGTGAGTATGAAAATCATAAGGCAGCATGCTCAGAACAAGGTTTTTTGCTTTGTTTTTTTTTTTTTAAACACCAGCACTGATGTTTTCAGTGTCAACGATAAATATGGGTATATGTTTGCATTTATTTAAAAATTGAGAGTGCAAAACACAAGCCTCATTTAATAACCAAAAAGATGTGCAAATTTTCTTAAATTAACACAAATAAAAGAATGAGAAGTATAGTCTACTGTTGTAAAGAATAAACTGAACACAGCAAAGGAGACTGTCTCCATTCCAAGATCATCTACAAGGCACTAAGGGTAGGAAATGACAGATAACACAGAAGTGACTGAACAGAACTCCTCAGTCGGGTCGGAATATGGGGTATTTTGGTAAGAATTCTATTAGTATTACCTGTAAAATAAAGACAGAAAAGAATATATTGACAAAATATTTTTCATTTAATGTACATAACCCACAAAATCTTGTTGAGTACCACAGGATTGTATTTTCACCATGGATTACAGGGAGTGAGTGAAATGCAAGAAATAGTTCTTCAAAGAATTAAGTTATGACCAAACAGGCCTCTCGTTTCAAAACTGAACTGGCAGCCAACCCTACCCACTAGAACTAAGAGCTGTTATTGCCTGATTTACAACAGCTATTTGCCGAGACCCAAACTCTATTACAGTTTTATATCCCCATAACCTTTTATTTTAGCCAAGAGGAAGAGATTAAAACTATTTTATAAAGATTAGAAAAAAATTACCTGTTTTCATTTTTTTAAGATTAAAACAGCTAGCCGGGCGGTGGTGGCGCACGCCTTTAATCCCAGCACTCGGGAGGCAGAGGCAGGCGGATTTCTGAGTTCGAGGCCAGCCTGGTCTACAGAGTGAGTTCCAGGACAGCCCGGGCTATACAGAGAAACCCTGTCTCGAAAAAAAACCAAAAAAAAAAAAAAACCAAGATTAAAACAGCTAATATTAGTTGAGGATTATTATTTCTGTAAGTTTATGAAATACAGTAGTTCAAACAGATTGACTATAAAACTGAATTGCAGAAGGCTTACAAGATTTCTGATTTTGTGAGAGAAGGTCTCAATATATGACCGTGGCTGGCCTGGAGCTTGCGATGTAGATCAAGCTGGCCCTAAACTCACAGATACCCATCCACATGGCCTCTGTTTCCAAGAGCTGGAATTAAAGGTACAAGCCACTTCTATTATTCTTCTATTATTGTTATGATGAAGGCAGTTCTATGTATCTCAGGCCTTGACCTTGCTATAAAGCCAAAGATGACCTTGAACTTCTGGATTACAGGCTTAGAGTGGTGCTGGGGACCAAATGGAGGTTCTAGATGCTAGACAAGCACTTTTCTGATTATACTATATTTTCAGCCCTGGACTATTTAATGATAAACACTGGAAGTTTGGAAGGTTCAAGATGCTGAATATATCATATTGTTTATATGTGGTTTTATGCTTTTGGACTAAGGCTACCTTTTTTTCGTTCATATTTGAAAAGTTTTTTGAGGTAGAGTTTCATTATGTAGTCCTGGCTGAAACAAACAGAGATGCACTCACCCCTGCCTCTCAAATGCTGGGATGAGAGGTATGTGCCACTGCAGCCAGCAAGACTACATATTTCCAGTAAAAATCTGTAACCTGTATTCAAATCTATTTTTGATAGATTTTACTCATTCAATAGTTTATTCACTCCAAGTTAAGTGCCAGCCAAAAAAAAAAAAAAAAGGTAAAAACTAGCCAGGGATGTGAATCCAAAACTGAAAGTCAATCCTTACGTAAGTTTTTTGATAAGCTTGCGCCTCAATGTATTTTGCTAGGTAGCAGCTGTTCTTACTGCCATATGTTATAAAGTTTGTGTCTGTGGGAACAGAAGCAAAGGGTGTACAACATTTTCAGCTGAGCATAGGAGCTGAGACTTTTCAAAGATGTAAATGATCTCTATAAGCTTCCCAGATACTTTAGATTGGCCACAAAGCTAAAGAAAATGAATGGTGGCCTTTGTACCCCAACTGACAGAAATAAGGGCTGAGAAGCTAAAAGGTGCAATCAAACAGATGGCAAGCACAGGGGTAAAAACCCAAAGAATGTAATTAAAACAGCTTCATACTTACATACTCCATCATATTGCTAGTTTCACATTTCCTTTTAGTCAATTTCCAGTGCAGAGCAAGCTAAAAGGGTAAGAGTTTGGTTAAGAATTCTTCTATCATCTTTGGCTAATTATTTATGAACACGTCATTAAAAGTACAATCTAGGCTACACGAGGTAAAACAGCACTTCAAGACCTGTATCAAGAAGGCATACTAATAACTGAGGAACAGTCCATTAGTCCGTTCCTTTGTGGACTTAGTACTTACTTTTTCAATTTCATAATGCAAATATATGAATGAGCACTTATTTGCCTACATGTCTTACCTTGTGGTACAATCTGTTATTTTCCCATTCTAGTAACTTCTGAATCGATCTTCTGGTCTAAGAAAAAGGATCAAGATTCTGTGAGAAGAGGAGCTGAAGAACATTATAAGCTACATGTGTCTGTGCTTTTCTGTTTTCTTGTAAGATACAATTAATTTCTTCTCTCACTCCCTCCCTCTCTCTCTCTCTCTCTCTCTTCAAATTATAAACCAGAAAAAAGGCAATGTATTTGACAGAAATTGTCAAAACCAAAATAACTCTTTGGGTGGTTACTGTATAACTAGAAAAAGAAGTCTACCTATTCATCCGTCTATCAATGAATGAAATTTTAATTTATGCTTTTCCAAATGAAGTACACATACAAATTGCTAAACGGTACATGGCCATCCACTAGACAGCTATGCAAGTTTATCCACAGTGCTAACGCAGAGCAGCAGCAGTTGCAGGCCCTGTACAGATGTTCATGACTCTTTCTCAGGACTACTTTTTCTTCTCGTTTTTTCTTTCTTTCTTTTTTTCTTTTTTTAAAGATTTATTTATTTTATATATGTGAGTACACTGTAGCTGTCTTTAGACACACCAGAAGAGGGCATTGGATCCCATTACAGATGGTTGTGAGCCACCATGTGGTTGCTGGGAATTGAACTCAGGATCTCTAGAAGAGCAGTCAATGCTCTTAACCACTGAGCCATCTCTCCAGCCCCAGGACTACTTTTTCAATAAACACTTGTGTTCCAAACTAAGGTGGTTCAGCACAGAAAGTTTTCCTAGCAGAAAGTGAAGGTTGAAAGAAGAGAAGCAGTAAGGCAGGAAACAGATTCAGGCAAATCTTTTAAAAAATGTAAGTAGTTTTTGTAGGGAGTTAGAAAAGTAAAGCTTTTAAAACCACTCAGAGTACCAGGAATTTTTGATTCTTATTAGAAATTTTAATACGTTTCTGATTAAAATAAAAGAAGAAAAGCCAGATGTGGCGCACATTTCTAACCCCAGCTTTGGGTAGGCGAATCCCTGTGAGTTCTGGGTCAGTAGGGAGTCAGAGTCACACAGTGAGACCCTGCCTCAAATAAGTAAATAAAAAGGATGGAAGACAGGAAGGAAGGACCCATTTGTAAAACAATTAAAAGGAAAAATCAGGAGAAAGGTGAAAGACCTGTGTTTTGTTAAACTGTCCATGCTGCTTCAGCGCAATAGAGAAATAGAGAAAGAATATCCTAAAATTTGCATGGAACCCTCCCCCTCCCCCCATACAAGACTCAAAAAAAACCTAAAGAATATTGAGAAAGAATGAAGGCAGACGGGCTGGAGAGATGGCTCAGTGGTTAAGAGCACTGACTGCTCTTCCAGAGGTCCTGAGTTCAAATCCCAGCAACCACATGGTGGCTCACAACCATCTGTAATGAGATCTGATGCCCTCTTCTGGTGTGTCTGAAGACAGCTACAGTGTATTCATATATAATAAATAAATAAATTAAAAAAAAAAAAAAGAATGAAGGCAGACATGTCCTGGTGTGAAACTACTTGAAATAATAATCAAAACAGTATGACACTACAGATATGGGGCTACAGAGATAGCTCAGTGGTTAAGAGCTCTTCCAGAGGTCTTGAGTACAATCCACATGGTGGCTCACAACTGCCCAGCTATTCTTGAACATTTAAATTAATTATCTGCACTTAAAAATTAGAATCCCAGGGGCTGGGTAGATGGGTCAGCAGTTAAGAGCACTGGCTGCTCTTCCAGAGGTCCTGAGTTCAAATTCCAGCAACCACGTGGGGGCTTACAACCTCTGTAATGGGATCCCCTATTCTGGCGTGTAGGAGTATAGGCCAACATAGTACCCTTGTATGTAAAATATATAAAGAAATCGAATTGATTTATACTAAACATGGATAGAAGTGGTAATATACAATATTAAAGTAGGAAAGGGTGCTGGGCAGTGGTGGCACACTCCTTTAATCCCAGCACTTGGGAGGCAGAGGCAGGTGCATTTCTGAGTTCAAGGCCAGCCTGGTCTACAGAGTGAGTTCCAGGACAGCCCAGGTTATACAGAAAAACCCTGTCTCGGAAAAACCAAAAAAGGGCTGGAGAGATGGCTCAGCGGTTAAGAGGGCTGCTCTTCCAGGGTTCCTGAGTTCAATTCCCAGCAACCACATGGTGGCTCACAACCATCTATAAGGGGATCCGATGCCCTCTTCTGGCATGTGGATGGTATATGCAACAGAGCACTCATACATTTTTTTTTTTTCTCTTTGAGGCTCCCTTTATTAGTGGTATTAATTTACATCTCTTTAAATTACCCTCCAGAAAACTC